TGGCTGTCACATGTCTCAGGGACCGTGTGCACCTCCAGCGCGAATGGTGCCTCTTCTGGCTTGGGGAGCACGTTGTACCTCAGGCTGGTCTGGAAGAGAATGCACAGTTCTATGTGAGCCTGTGCGTATCTCCTCTCTGCTTATCTCCTCTGCCTCCTTCCCCCGGTCCATCTCATTTCCTCCTTTGTCTTCTCTTTCTCCTTCCTCCTCTCACTAGCTCCCCATTCCCTAACTCTGGACATGCTCTCTCCTCACACCTTTTCCTCTTTTCTCATCCTTATCTCCATCTCTTTCTCCCTTCCCTCCCCTACCCATCCCACCTCACCCTGCCACCTCCAGGATGAGCCAGGCGCCCTCAGCAGCAGCCTCTCCCCCTGCCCCTGGGCCCCTCACCTGCACATAGACACATCCTTCTCCTGTCACCCCCGTGCTGTAGTCTCCTGGCACCTCTGGCAGTGCCACACGCTGGAGCAGCAGACGGTTCGTGTGATCCACCTGGAACTGGGTCTGAAAGTTCCCTGTGGATTGCAGGGTCACTGTGGATGCTCCTCCGCTCTTGGTGTAAGTAGAGGCTCCATATCGGGACAGGGCCTGGAGCGCCACCACTGTGTCCTGCCAGACAAGAGATGGGCCCAGGCGCCCAAGGGAATGAATGAGCCATTTCTATGGGCCTGGAGCCCCTACCCCACCGGCTCCTACCACACAGCACCGCCCTGCTCAGAAAGGTTAGTTTTTCCCATTTCCACCCATTCTCTACCCATCACTCCCACAAGCCATTCACCTATTCCCTGGACCCAGATCCTCCAAGGTATTTTAGCACCTTTCTCCCACTGAAAGCAGCCAAGTGTCTAAGTACCTTTGGGAACGTAGGCCTTGGGAATTCTGACACTCCACTACAGGGAGCTGAGGGAAGAAGCCACCCACCCTCCCGTGAAGGAGCAACCTGAAGGGACAGCTGACAGGGCAGACAGATAACAGAGGCAGATGCACCCACGTGCCTCAGCAGCAGGAAAACAGAATTACAACCCTACTGTGTTAACCAAATCCCTCCGTGAAGTAGTCTTCCAAAGGGAAACACTTCATGCACTGTCTTCAAGAGGGATGTGTTTTGGGCTGCCTTTAATCAGGTGGCACTTTCTGGTTCTACATAACTCGGGATGGTGCCCCCACCGCATCTAGGGTGACCAGATGAGGGGAAGAAAATATCGGGACACATGGGGCGGGGGGGCTGCCGGCAGAGCAAAAAAAAAAAAAAAGCGGAGCAGGACGCGGGACAAACACCTAAATATAGGGACAGTCCCAATTTTATCGGGACGTCTGGTCACCCTAGCTCCACAAGGTGTGTCTGGCAGTGGCTAACTGCTGCTGCTTCTCTGGGGAGTCCTCAGCTCCCGAGCTGGATTGGCTGGGCTGGATGGGGTCAGTGCTGGGGGGAGCTGAGGAAAGCGTCATGTTGCTGGATGCTCAGGGCGACAAGTCTGCCCTCTGTACACAAGAGCATCACTTGTCCAGTCTCCTGCCATTAGCCCACTAAGGCCTGTGGGGATCTGATGTAGCCATGCTCCATGCTGTGACTATCCCATGATCTAACCCCCTCAGAAACAGAGGTTCTCTAAACCCTGCAGCGAGGGCACTGTCACCCCTTCCCCCTCCCAGAAGGAGTCTGTCTCTGTTTCAATGCTAGGTTATTCGTTCTTCTGTGGCAACCTGATATATATATCTCCTGCCTCCCCCTCCTGCCCTGGGTGTCTGAGGCTGGGGATGGGAACAGCTCACCTGGGTGGAGGAAAAGCCCCCGTTGGGATTCTGCTGCTTGCTGATCCACGTTGCAATTTGAGCTGCTAATAATAGGTCTTCTTGGGATGGTGCCGGCCGTATGGGAAGGTAAGCGAGAAGCACGTAGGACGTCATCTCCACCTCGGCGGAGGGACACGGGGGTGATAGAACGGGAGATCAGCTTCTGGCTGCTTCCCAGGCCTCTGCCAGTGAACGGAGCCATCTGCAGGGGGAGAAGGGAGAGGGAGGAGAAAAGGAAATGTTTCTTACCGAATATCTGGTTTTTGCCAAGAGGGTTACTGACATACTGTCACTGAGGATGGAGAATGGAGTCCCAACCCTTGCTGGGCATGTCAATACAAAGCATGAAGGTATTAAATAATCCCTCTAGTGGGTTGATACAGTCCAGATGTGGAAACTCTCAGTGTCTAATTAGGTTGCTGCACCTGTGCCTGTGTCTCCCACATTTTATGAAGTCAGATCCCAGGAATGGCCAGTGCCAAGGTTTTTAAGGCTCATTGATCTAAAATGTGTGAAGAGACTAAAGAATCCCGACCTGCCGCAGTACACACTGAAGGTTATAGCAATAACAATCAAACCCTTCTCCTGCCAGGCTACATAGGGCCAGTGGACCGGGATGCAGAAGAAGAGCCCATAAACAGGTCTCACCCTCTTTCACAGCTTCCTTATCAAGCGAGTCCAGCAGTGCCCTGTGCTTCTCCTCCTTCCCTGCCAGGGTGAAGGCGTAGGCCATCAGTGCCTTTGTGTACACGTGGCTTCCTCCCTGCTCCATGGCTGTTTCCAGGCAGAATAAAGCACTACGGACCACAGAGTGCTGCGGGGAGCATAGAGGGGAAATAATCAGTGTTTGCAGTGTGACGATATGAGCTAGGCTTTGGGCACTGCCTGTGCTGGCTGTCATCTCATGGCCACAGAGCACAGATGGATTTAAATAAGATGTGCAGTAGATCTAATATAACACAGATTCTGGTGATGGGATGAGTGACTGTTTGACACCAGTCACTTGCATGGTCCCAGTGAACTCAGACTCTTGTAGTAATTTGGTTACCCCATCACCGTGGGCCACTGAGCACAGAAATGTGGCTTAAATGTGTCTAGCTGAGACAGTCTCAGCAGTTACAAAAATCACATTCCTGCCTTCCATGGGATAGCCATGTTAGATACGAGGCCTTCACAATTTGGAGAAATTAAGGTAATCTGAGGTGTCTAGGGCTATTTATTGAATTTTAACCAAGAAAACATGTGGAAGGCAAATGAAACAGACTGCCATGGATAGCAATGGGCCAACAGCTGTCAACTAGTATATAATCCCTCCCAGTCATTCATCCAATGAAAAGCATGACTAGATGTTAGGATATAGATATTCAGGCCTGTCTGTAAAGGCCTATACTTTAAGAATTTAGGTGTATTCTTATCACTTAGCTAGTTATAGAGATATAAAAGAAAGAATCAAAATCACTGTCTGCCTGTGTAAGGGCCTTCTCGTACTGTGACAGTCTGAAGCTCTGTTCTTAGGCTAAGGCCTTCAGCTAAGCAGCAGAGGCAGCCATAAACTGGGAAATGTACGGTCACATCCTCACATTCCAAACTAGTCACATTGAAATAAGGTGCTATTGGGCTGTTAGGAA